GCCCCGTTTCCACGCGCGCCGCTCGGGATGTCAATCGGATGGGAGGGTGCCCCAGCCGGCCTGAATGGCTCGAAACTTCTCTCAGCTGGCGGGGGTGCGCTTTGGGCGATGGGCCTGGGCGCTCCTTGTTTGAGCGGCCGTTTGAGTCCCAGAGCCACTTGGGGAAATCTGACGATGGCTCGCCTGACAGACAGCGTTCGGGTCAGTCCTCCATCCCCGCTCCTCCTCGCGGCCGCTTTGGCGCGAAACCTCTTGCGGCTTCGCCCGGCCATCGCCTTGTCTCGGCGGCCCCGCGCGGGCACGAGGAGGCGGCGCCTCGCTCGCGCGCGGCCCGGGCCGGCGGCGGGCTCGGCGCTTCGGCGAATGCGCGCGCCGCAGGCAGGGTGCGCTTCGACGGCCAGGGCGACCCCGACAGCGACGCGGCGCCAGTCGGCGCCGGCTGCGAGGCCAGAGGAGCCGCGGCGGGGTCGCGGCCCGGCGGGGGGCGACCCCGACATTGTCACGCCACCGGCAGAGAGCCAGCCGGTCAGGGAAAGAGGCGCCAGCCCGCCTCGAGTTCGAGCGGGTCGTCAGAGGGCGCGGCAGACGCGGAGGCGCGCCGCGCCCCGGCACGGGAGAAGCGCTCGCGCCGGCGACTGCGCTATGACCTGGAGGCGGCCGACGAGGCGAGCGCCGCCAGCCAGGTCAGAGCGATCTCGAAATGGGGGGCGGCCGACTACCAGAAGGAGCCCGGAGCCGAGCGGAGTGGCCATCGAGCGGATCGACGCCGCCAGCAGTTCCTGCCTTGACGGCACGCTTGCAGAGAACTTCCAGACGCCGTTCCTTGGAGGGGGGCGGCCGAGCAAGGAGGCGAAGGCGGTGGCTGCCCTGATGCATCGACTGCCGCTGCATGGGCGGATGGGGGGTGCGCCCGCCACCTCGGTCCTGGCGAGCCCTCTGGGGCGCGCCCTTCGCGGTCGCGGCGGCCAGAACCACCGATGATATGGCGCGCGCTGGCCATCGATGTCGCTGTTCGCGGTGCTCTGAGCGTCGACCTACCTCGGGCCAGGGCAGCCGTTGCCCGTCACTGCCGCATTTCGTGCGGCCGAGGCACGGCGCAAGCCAGTGTTGGTCGCTGCTGAGCAACCTGGAGGAGATTGGAAAGCCGTCCAAGACGGGCAAATACGACCTGTCCGTGCTAATCGACAGCCGTTTCCTGCGCGACTGGATTGGCCGAGCCCTGGCAGTGCTCAAGAGCGGGGCTGCGGGTGCTCTGGCGCGGGGTCCAATGCACCCGCAGTGCGTGGCGCGCTTCAAGAAGGTGGCCGCCCCGCTGGGGCGCAACGGATTCGCGCCCTACCAGACGCACCATTCGGGCGCCTCGACCGACCGGGCCACCAACGAGAGGGGCCTGGGCGAGGTCACGCGCCGAGGCGGGTGGCGACAAGTCCGGAGCGCGGTCCGCCACGAGAAGGCGGCGCGGCTCGAACACAGCAGCAGCCAACGCGGAGCGGCGCCAGCAACCCACGTGGCCGCATGCTAGAGGCAGATGGGCACCATCGTGATCCACGGACGGAGCGCGCTGCCTATACTGGAAGATACGCGGCAGATCTGGTCAGTGGCAGTGGCGAAGTAGGCAGATCTTTTGAGTTGTCAGGATTCGACTTCTGCATTTTGATGCGGCTCTCGGGCCGAAAAGAAAAACCTTTTGGATAAGCGAGTCGTGTCTCCGCTGGTTGGTGATCCAGTTGCGGGCCGCTGCGTGGCCGTCTGTACGGGTCCCCTCTGTGCCATTTTAGCATTGCCATGGCCCGTTGCAAACCGTGGCGGTCTCTCGTGCACCTGCCAGGCCTTCCAGGACGTTCTGAGGATGAGTGTGCAAAGATTGCGGCAAGTCGCCCTTTGATGAATACTGTGTTTCGAGTTGCGAAAGCCTGCCGGCGATGGCAGGCCCCTGGTGAATCGAGATTACTCAGTCTTCGTATATGTTCGAAAGCTCCTGTTATGATGAGCCTGCTGGCCCTTTCCACAGTAGAAAGCGTGTCTTTATGTTTGACAGTTCGGTGCTCCGTGGCGCATGTCTATTAGACAGTGGGTTGGAGAATGCGGCCCTTCTGATCTAAGTAAGCTCCGTCGTCGCTGCATCGATAGGGAGGCCTGCAGCCGCTCGGGAAAGTTTCGTTCCCTTCTCGAGGGGTGTGGTTCTGGGGGGCTGAATTGGACCAAGACTGCACGAGTTCATTCCCGCCGACTGTGCCGCGCGCTGGCTACTAGTCTTTCTTTTCGGCTCGGCCAGGGCCTCGCAGGAAACCTCGACTACACCCTTGTTTCCGGATGCTTTGGGAGCGCTCGATTTGCAATTGTTTCTGATATGTCGTTTTGCTCGCTGCGCCCTGCTGCAGAGTTCTTTGAGACACCGCACCGCTGATGAACAATGCAACATGGCTCTGCGTTGCACGAGAACGGTTCTCAGGATTCAAAGTGGTCGCTCCCAGAATTTTTGTTACCACCCGTCTGCATACGATCCGTGACATAAGGTTCAGAGGTGATCCCACCCGCAGCGCCAACACCTACCCCTTTCTTTTCGTCGCTGGGGGATGGTCGAATTTCTATTGTTTCTTCTGCTCGCTGCGCCCTGCGGCAGAGGTTGCTTGGTCACAGTAGCGGTGATGAGTAGCGTAACATCACGATGATGAGGGTGATGATGGTGATGACGATGATGATGATGATGATGATGATGATGATGATGATGATGGTGGTGGTGGTGGTGGTGGTGATGGCAGTGATGGTGGCGATGGTGATGGTGAAAGTGATGGCGATGACTGTGATGTTGGTGGTGATCGTAATGATTGTGGTGATGGTGGTGATGATGATGATGCTGATGATGCTGACGATGCTGAGTATGACCATGGTGATGGTGGTGATCATCATCATCGTGGAATGATGATGGTGATGTCGGCGATGACGATGATGATGAATGATGGTGATGATGATTATGATGGTGGTTGTGATGGTGATGATGCTGATGATGATGGTGTCGCTGCTGCTGCTGCGGATGATGGTGGTGATGATAATGATGGTTGTGGTGGCCATGATGATGATGCTGCTGATGATGATGATGATGATGCTGACGGTGACGACGATGGTGGTGATGATGGTGATGATGATTATGATGACGATGATGATGATGATTGTGATGATGATCATGGTGATGGTGATGACGATACTGATCGTGGAGATGCGGCTGATGAAGATGGTCATGGTGGTGGTGACGATGATGATGGTGATGATGATGATGATGCTGATGATGATGATTATTATGGTGGTGATGATGATGGTGGGGGTGATGATGATGATGAAAATGGTGGTGATGATGGTGATGATGCTGATTATGGTGATGATGATGATGATGATGAGGATGATGATGACGATGATGATGATGATGATGATGCTGATGATGGTGGTGGTGATGATGATAATGATGATGATGATGATGATGATGATGATGATGATGATGATGATGATGATGATGGTGATGATGACGACGACGCCGACGACGACAACGACGAGGAAGGGGGATGAGGGAGGAGGGAGAAGGAGAAATTGGGAGGATGAGGAGGAGGATGAGGAGGGCGAGCAAAAAAAGCCAGAACCTTCTTAGAGGCGTCTGGGGGCGTCTTGTAGATCTCTGTGGGGTCCCAGGTGCCTCTTGGGGCGTCTTGGGTGCATCTGGGACGTCTTTGGAGCGTCTGGGGGGGTCTCTTGGGAGCCTTTTGGAGGCCTCGTAGGGCCTCCTAGGTACTTTTCGGGGCAGTTTTGAGGCATCCATCTTGGGTCCATCTTGAAGATCGATCAAATGATGGGCCGTAATCAATTATCCCCCCCTCCCAGGAGGCCAAAATGTTGCCCAAACCTGAATAACATCTATGATGTTGGCTTCCTCGTCGATGCCATTTTGGACGCTGTAACTGCTCTCTGAACGCCCCCTCCAAACGCAGGGGAGGGCGGGGGGGGGAGGTGTCTACCCCTCCCCGAAGGGGAAGAGGGAAGATGGAAGAGGAAACGCTCCCAAACCACTCACGCCCAGGGTGCTGCTGGGATTCTGGCCAGATCGCACCCCAGGAGAGGCCCAGGGAGTTGCAGTATCGACATCTTTTGGTTTCCCCGTTGTCCGCGGCCTCGTGGCGCTCGAGGTTTTCCGGCGTGCTCGTCTGCTCTCGGCAGCTTCTCACCTCCTGCATGCCTTCTAGCGGCTGCGCCTCGCCGAGGGCCTCCCGGGGGCGCCCAGGTCGCCCCAAGCGGCCGCCGGCGACCCCCGTCCGGACCCGAAGACTGGGCGGCGGGGCAGCGGGGCGTCGGGGCCGTGAGCCGCGGCCCCGCGGGCACGAAGCGTTCTGTGCGCGAGCGCTCCGCGCGGAGCGTGCCCGCGCGACCGCGCAGGCACGGCGCCGCGCCCCCGGGAGTCCAGGCCGCGAGGGCGTGGATATGGACGTGTCGTGTAGCCGCTCGGGGATCCCGGGGGGACGTGGCGGTCGGGGAGCAAGTCGAGCGGGCCCTGGCCAGGGCCAGGGGCGGGAGCGAGCACCCGGGCACCCAACGTGAGCATCTGCGCGGGACGCCCCTCGGGACAGCCGCGTGGACAGCCAGCGGGACAAACGGGGAGCACCGGGGGGCAGCGGTCCGGACCCGAGGCGAGGTGTGCTGAGTGTTGGGGGTGCGTGTGAGACAGGTGTGTTCTGGCGGCTTCCACCAATACGCGGAGGACCCAATCTTGGGTGTAGATAACTGGCGGCCCAATTGGTGTCGAGCCAGCCACCTCGATGTATACAGAGGGCCACGGGACTCAAGGTTGAGGCGCCGCCGGGTTTCAAATCTCGCAGTGTCTGGTGCCATGCCCAAGCTCGAATTCGGGGTTCGGCGACCCTTTCTGGGTAAACAGTTACTGGGCCCCACTGGGGCTTGCATTTATTGCCCCCTGCGCCTCCACGCCTTCCGCCCCGCCGACAGTCCGCAGACTTAAGGCGCCAACGACCGCTTTCACGGCACCCGTCTCGACGGCCGTTCGAGGCCGCCTGGCCAAGCACCACGCCGTGTTGCGCATGCGGAAGCTCGTGCAGGTTGCGAGTGCTGTGCGGTCGACACCGCTGCTCCCAGACGAGGTGCTGGGCGTCGAACCCCACGACCGGATAACGGAGGACCACCTGCCTAAGGATCCCGCGAAGCAGTTCGGACCGCTTGTGGTTCACGAGCACGTCACTCCGGAGGCCGAGGCCAGAGACTTGATCCTCCTCCTCAGCAGGGAGGCCTTCAGGACGATGCTCGTCGGAAGGACGAGCAACCCAACGAAGATGCCCATAAACGACCTCACGGAGCTCGTGGATGCCGCCGAGCGTGCAGGCGACCTGCCGTGGAAGAACCCCCGCGGCCTGATGAAGCGGATGGCCATGGTCTTGCAAGGGAACACCATCTCCGCGGAGCACTTGGCTGAGTTCTTGTGGGAGGCGTGCAAATGACACGCCACCCCGCTGCATGCCAGGGCGGCCAGTGCGGCTATGACCGCGAGAGCCCCAGCCGAATTTGCGTGTTCCAGCGGAGGGGGCCCCTCCGCGGCTCATTCCCTCCTTTCCGGCCCCTCCCTCTCCTCCTCTCCGCCCCCTGCCCTCCCTCCCTCCACGCCTACTCCTCGCCCTCCTCGACCTCCTCGCATGCCCCCCCCCGCTCTCCAACTGTCCCCCGTCCAGGGCCCACTCCCCCTCTCCCTCTCAGTCGCCCTCCCTCCCCCCTCGCCCTTCCCCGCCCCCTCCCCTGTCCCTCCCTCGAAGGAGAGGAGGAGGAGGAGGAGGAGGAGGAGGAGGAGGAGGAGGAGGAGGAGGAGGAGGAGGAGGAGGAGGAGGAGGAGGGGAGGAGGAGGAGGAGGAGGAGGAGGAGGAGGAGGAGGCGGCGGCGGCGGACGGTGGAATGAGCGTTCAAGCCGTTCTCTCTAAGCACGCGTTGGGAAAAAACCCACGGGGAGCTTTACACCAACCTGGCTTGAGAAGAAACTCTGGACACCTCGTGGGGCCAGAGAATAGAAGAAAAGGACCAAGGGGCCAAGCGGCGTCTGCGCCTCTCCTTGGCCTCGGCTCGATTACGTCTGATGCGATCGAGCTGGGCAGTCGACAGGGTCGGAGGGGGGGGAGGGGGAAGAGGGAGGAAAAAGGAGGGGGAATCCCCGTCCTCGGGGATGTGGGTCGGCCCGGCCTCGTTGGGCGGCGCGACGGTCCTGACATCCTGCTCCTCCGCAGGTGGGTCCTGCGGCAAAGGGCTGGGATCCTCGGCAGGGGAGGAGGGAGAGGAGGGGAGGAGGAGGAGAGGAAGGAGGGAGGAGGGAGGAGGGAGAAGGAGGAGGAGGAGGAGGAGGAGGAAGAGGAAGAGGAGCAGGAGGAGGAGGAGGAGCGAGGAGGAGGAGGAGGAGGAGGAGGAGGAGGAGGAGGAGGAGGAGGAGGAGGAGGAGGAGGGGAGGAGGAGGAGGAGGAGGAGGTGGAGGCGGAGGAGGAGGAGGAGGAGGAGGAGGAGGAGGAGGAGGAGGAGGAGGCATGGACCACAACCGCCGAGAGCGCACTGGGGCGGGGCCGACCCCTGGGCGGTGGCACGCCCGAGCGTCCGCCAGCACAGGCCGGCGCTCCGGCGCGCCACCGGCCCAGGTGCCGCCCCCCGCGGCCCGCGCGCCTTCCGTGGGGTTCTCCGCTGCGCGGGTCCACGTTTCCCATCTCCTCCTCCTCCTCCTCCTCCTCCTCCTCCTGGTGGACGTCATCGGTTGAGCCCTCTCGGCTGGTGTCGTGCTCGAGGTCGATGACGCTGTCTACCCCAAGGGCGCTGGCTGAGCTCGGCCAGCTGCGCTTTTCCCCTGCTTCCCCACCCTTCCGCTCCTACCCTCCCCCTAATGTACGGCGTCGCTGCATTTTGGCGACGATCCCAGTCAAGTGTGTTGGCCCCCCTGGCCATCTCACCCATGTGCTCTCTGCTCCTGTCGTGCGCCCTACCATTCCGCTTCGTCTCAGTTCCCCTGTGCATGGCTGGCCGCCAGCTCCAGATTCGCCCATAATCCCTCCTGGCGCTGCTTCTCTGGGCCTTTCCTATCCCTGTCCGTCGCTCGTGAGCTCTGCCCTTGCTACTGCTTGCGCCTCCCCTGCTCCTCTCTCGAGCTGTCATCGCTTCATGCCTCCCGCTACGAATCAAATTGCACCGATTGAAATACTCCGGCCGCCGTGCACACCTACGGCCGCGCCGACTCCGTGGGCAGCTGGAGGTGCGCCCACGCCCACCCGAGGCGCCGCCCCCGCGCCTGGCCGCGTCGGCTAGTGGGACGCGGACCTCCCTCTTTACGCTCGTCTCCTCCTCCTCCTCCTCCTCCTCCTCCTCCTCCTCCTCTCTCCTCCTCCTCCTCCGCCTCCTCCTCCTCCTCCGCCTCCTCCTCCTCCGCCTCCTCCTCCGCCTCCTCCTCCTCCTCCTCCTCCTCCTAGTCACCCCGCAAAGGGTGAGCAGCTTCCTAAGGCTGCCCCTGCAGCCCTCCTCCCTCGGCCCAAACCTCGGCGACTCTTGCTGGCCAGCCCCTCGATCGAAGAACGCCAGCCTGGCCCTCCAATGCCCTTGCATCCTCACCGCGCATCTTTATGATAGACTGCGCTCGTCCCACCCCCCCGCCCAGTGTCGATTGAGAGCCTCCACAGCGAGGGCTCGAAGCTTGCTCGCTTCCAGGAGCTAATGTTCGCAGAGCAGGGCGCGGCGGGCGCACGAGCGCCCCCGCGGCACGGCGAAGCCGTTGCTCAGACAGAGGAACAGAAGCACAATGAACATAATTTCTTGGTCGTCGTTGTCTTCTTCATTGTTTTGCCGATCGGCGCGTACCCTCGCACCCCCCAACCCCCTTCCCCCCGTCCTGGAGTAGATCTTGGCTGTTTTTGGCGCCTGTTTCAAGCAGGTGGAGTCTCCTGCATACTATGCAGGAGACTCCACCTGCTGCAAACAGTCGCATTCGGCAGAGCTCCGGAGCCAGATCCGCCCCCTTCCCCCCCCCCCCCTTCTGCCCAGCGTCGGAACGCCAGAAAAGAGAACGTTCACAGCATCTCTCGGAGGTTCGCGCGGCATGTCTTGGATCTGCGCCGGGCGGCCCCTGGCGGCGCTTCCACGCGCCGCCCCTGGCGCGCTCCGCGCGCCAGGGAGGGGGGGCCCAGCGCCGATCCGAGAGGTCCGCGCGGAGCTCCGGAAGGCTGTGCTCGGGGCTGGACCTGAACGCTGTTTGGGCGATTTCGTGGGCCGTCTTGGTTTTTACTCCGTTTTGCGGCGGGGGGGGACTGAAGACAGCACGGGGGAGCACGAGGCCGAAACGAGGACGAAGGACGCCGTTTGGGTTCAGCCCTGGCCGTGTTCGTGCTGCTTCTGGCCTCTCTGCGAGGAGAGGGCCGCGACCCCGCGCCTCGGCCCGGGGCGGTGCGTGCGGAGAGGGGTGCTCGGCTCGGCCGCCGCGCTCGGCAGAAGAGGGCGGGGAGAGGTCTCCTTGGTGGCGGCTTCGTCCGGCATCGTTGAACCGATCCCCATGCCCAGCCCCGTCCCCTTCGAGACCCCCACCACATCACCACCCCAGTTGGGGATACACCCCTCGAACCCCGAAGGGAGCGACCTATATCCCCATCTGGAGGGGTAAAGCGGCCAGCGTGGCCCAGGCCACGCCACTGCGGGATGGGGACCGGTGAAACAATACTCGTTCGTCGGTTCTCGGCGGCTCTCCAGCCTCTGGATGGTCTGCGGCAGCTGCCACTGGCTGGCGGCATTCCCGGGGGTGCCTGGGTCGTCCCAGCCGCCGGAGAGAGGAGTGATGTTTCCCGAGCGCGCTCCGCTACTCGCAGAGTGCCTGCTCGCAAACGTCAGCAAAAACGTGTGAAGTTCGATGCAATGGAGCTTATTTGCCTCGATGCAGTGGATCCGAGTCATTTGCGAGTATAGTGGGACGCGCGTGTCCAGTTACAGCCGGGAAGCCCGGAGCAGCGTTAGGGGGGAGTGATGGGCTCAGGAGGAGGGAGGAACGCATCGACCCCCAGTCGCCAATTCGTCACCGACAGTAGCTCGATGGCCCACCCCGCGCAGGGACGTGCGGATTCGCTATCGGGAGCCTGTAGCCGATCTATCGGCTATGTCTCGCCGATGTCAGGTTGATGCTTGCCTTCCTCAGCCAGTCCCACTAAAACGCTCCCCCTCAAGAGGGAGAGAGGCAGGGAGAGAGGGAGGGAGGCAGAGACACAGAAGGTGTGCATATTTGATTGGCGTGGCATTTGGTCAAGGGGGTTCGGGGTTCACGGACAAGAGAAATCTCTACACGTTCGTTTGGCCTTGGTCTGATGAGGGGGTTGAGGTTGGCGAACGTGGTGCTGGCTGTCTAAATCCACGTCCTGAGGTGACGTGCTGAGCAGCAGCGTTTTTCGGCGAACGCTTTAATGCAACGTATCCCAAGGTACCCATTTCTTGCACAACTGCAGCGTATCGTATTCTTGCACGATTGCTACATATCGTATCACGTTACACTATTATGTCTCCCTCCGGGGCCACCCCACATCCGTCGACCCTCAGGAGAAGAACCCCTTTCTAGGCCTCAAAACTGACAAAGACTTATGGAAAATCTATGATTTGGCCCTCTGGGGCCTCTTGGGGGTCGAAGACTGCGACAAGACGGCTCAAGATGGCCTCAAGACGGGCCAAGACGACCCCAAGACGGCCCAAGATGGCCCCAGGAGGGCCCGAAAAGCCCCCAAGAAGGCCCAAGAGGGCCCCAGGAGGACTCCCAGGAGCGCCTCCGGAGGCCCAAATCATTGATTCCCTGTAGGTTTGGGAAGCATCTTAGCGTTCTCGCCTTGTTCGACTCTCCGGGGCCCATGATGGCCCGAGCAGCTTCCAAAACGGCCCCATCACGACCCGAGAAGCCCCCTAAGAGGGCCCCAAGACGGGCCAAGAGTGTCCCAAGACGGCCCAACGACGCTCCCAAGACGGCCTTCGAGGCCCCCAGGACGGCCCAAGGGGACCCCCAAGAGAGCCCCAAAGCGGCCGCGAGAGGCCCACAGGACGGCCTCCCGAGGGACCAAAAACCGCGCAAGAGCGCCTCAAGATGGTCCAAGACGGCCCCAAGAGGCCCCAAAGCAGCCCCCAAGAACTCCTGGAGGCCCCCAAGGGGCCTCCGAGAGACCCCGAAGAGGCTCCCACCAGGCCCCGCAGCGGCTGCATTGCACGTGCTCCGGACGTGCACCCCGCGAAGCGGGAGGAGTCGCAAGCGCTCGCTCAAGGGTGCCGCGCTCGAGCCCTCCGCCCACGAACACCAGGAGCTGCGTTCGGCGACTTCGATCTCGGTGGCCCCCCTCTCGATGCTCATGAGGGCCCCGCGCTGGAACCCCGGGAGGGGGTGCGCCGGAGCCTCGCACGGTGGGGCCACCGCGTCGCGGCCCTGCGGCAGGCACGCCCGCGCGGGGCAGCAGGGTGCGATACAGAGGAGGAGAGGACACCACTGCCACTGCCCGCTCTCCTCGCCGCCGGCAGCTGGGCTCGCTTCACGAGCTCATGGCCAGAGCGCGCCCCAAGAATGGCCCAGGCAGCAGCGGCACCGGTGCTGCTCTGCTTCGAGATCCCGGGGGGGGGGGGGGGGGATCGCTCGAGGGAGGGGGGCCGAAGGGGAGGGGCGAGGGGGGGATGATGCCGTAGGAGGGGGGCTAGAGCGCAGGGAGTGGACGGATGGAGAGAGAAAGCACGGGAGAGGAAGTTACCGGATGGCGGAGAGAGGAAGGGCGGGCGGGACGAGGCTGGACGAGGGGAGGGGCAGGGGTGGATGGGGGAAGGAGAGGTAGCGGTGGAGGCGCTCACGAGGAGAGGTGCGCGGGGCGGGAAGCGGACAGAGCACCGCGCTCGCGAGCCACGGCACCAGCTGGCTGCGGTTCTGTCCGTTGTCCACGAGGGATGAGGGGGGAGGGCCGAGGGCAAGAGGGCAAGCGAGAGGGGAGCAGGACTGGGCAGGCCATGGGATCTGGCACGGCATGCCCCAAAGGGTTCTCAGGGCCCCAGAGGCAGCCAGGACGTGGCAAGCCAGGGCTCCTTGCAAGGTCTGGCCAGGGAAAGCAGCGGAGCGCCAGAGCCCTGGCTTGCGGTAGGTTCGTGTCGTGTCGACACAGCGGCGACCCCAGCGCGGGCGCTCAAGGTTGAACGCCGCCGCCTGGAGTCGGCCGATGTCGAACGAGTTGCGCCATCGGGGAGCCGCGATCGTTCAAGGCTAAAGTACTCACGCGGTATCCGAAACCAACGCCCGGTCAGAGTCCCGACGCCAACCCCCTCTCGCCCAACCCGAGGCTCCACGGTGCACGCAGGCCCGGGCACGTGCGCTGGCCCCTCGGCACTAGGCAGGAAGGGTGGTCTCTGGTGCCCGGCCTGCCGCTCTATGCTTGCGATGCGGCAGTCGCGGCCTGCGCTCTCGGATTTGAGCCTCCTCCTCCGCCTCCCCCTCCCCCTCCCCCCCTCCTCCTCCTCCTCCTCCTCCTCCTCCTCCTCCTCCTTCTCCTCCTCCTCCTCCTCCTCCTCCTCCTCCTCCTCCTCCTCCTCCTCCTCCTCCTCCTCCTCCTCCTCCTTTCCTCCTCCTCCTCCTCCCCCCCTGCTCCACCCCGCGGCCCCGGCACATGTCCACCTTTGGGACGAGTGGCCACCGGGGCCAGGCGTGTGAGGCGAGTCCGAGTCCGCCGCCGAAGGAACCGTCGAGCCTCGAGCCGTCTTCGGGCCCTGGCTGGGCCGGCTCAGCATGCGGGAGAAGGAGCAGCAGCAGGAGGAGGAGGCGAAGGGGGAGGGAGGCGCAAGGCCCGCGCGGCTGCAGGGGCGGCCCGGCAGGGGCGGGGAGAGGAGAGGGGAGGGGCGGGGCGGACGGGGGCGTTGGCAGTCAGGTCGGAGGTGGTAGTGGTCGTGGTCGTGGCGCTGTCGTGCAGTCGTGGTCGTGGTGCTTGCTGGCGGTGGTCGCGGTGGTCGTCGTGCTGGCGCTAGTCGTGGTCGTGGCGCTGGTGGTCGCGGCGGTTGCCGTCCTTAGGGTCGTCGTCGTGGTGCTGGTAGTAGCGGTTGTGCTGGTGGTGGTTGTGGTCGCGGCCTTACTGGCCGATGGCGCTGAGCACCATCTCGGCATTGCCACGCTGGAGGTGGCGGGACAGCTGCCGCCACACTCTGGCGAGCACCTCGCCCCGCTCTGCCTCGCCGAGGTTCTGTCCGTAAGCCCGGATGAACTCTGCGGCTTCGTCTGACGGGCGGCCCAACGTCTCGAAGACGAGTGGGGCGAGGTCTCCCCCACTCGGGGGGTATCTGTCCCGCTTTTCCCGCACCATGGCCGCTGCGGCGGCGCCATCGTTGTTGGAGCGTGCTTG